TACTTCCTTCACATGGCGAACTGACACTTTTTTCATTATTTTTTTTTATTTCAATTTTTGAATGATAAATTCTCTGTTACAGATCTTCACTTGTGAAGATATTTTCAGTTGTGATCAAAGTTGCTTAACTTCCTTTTGGATAAAATGAATGTGCATCAATTTCTTTAGAAACTGAGAATTTGCATGTGGGCAATGGAACAGGTTTCTTGGACTTATTCAGAGATTGCGGTAAGTGAAGAATGGTGGAAAGTGAGTTCTGTATCTCGTGAATGGGGTTGACATGTTACTAGTTATAAAGGAATAACATACCATGTAAATTATGATGTGTACATAACTTGATTTTTAAAATGCAAATTGATTTTCTACAGTGGGGATAATGGAATGTAGCCAGAGAGCATTCTAGTGGGAGGTGAGATATATGTAGTTGCTAAAGAAACCATAGAAGATGCATAAAGTAGCTGTTCTCTTACTATTTTACTGTTTGGATTTGGGTTTTGTTGGTTTTAATTTGATACAAACTTGAGGTGTTTCGTATTGTGGTGTTTTTTTTGTTTTGGTGGTCTGTTGCTTTGGGTTTGGGGTTTTTTTCATTGGTTTGGTTGGGGGGGGGTTGTTCAGTTGCTTGGTTTTGGTTTGTTTGGGTTTGTTGTGTTGGGTGTTTTTTTTTTTATAGAAAGTTTGGGGGGGGGTGTTCACCTTTTTTACTGAATGTCTTTTGTCTCCTAGCAGTGGAATAGATTTTGTGAGTAACGAAAGTCACATAATGCCCATGTAATTTATGGGAGTGGAAGGTTTTGCTTGTTCATTTCTTTAAAATAAATTTAAAAAATCCTAGTATCAGACAATCCCCTTATTTAAGTGAAGAGTCCTGCAGCCATAGCTACTATTCATGACGAAAAGACTATCTGCTATAAATCTGTTAAAAGGTGGTGGGGTGTTAGTAGGGAAGTAGAGATAAGTTCCTTAAAACTATGAGTAAAGAAATCTGGCTTCTCAGTCCAAGATCGTGACATAGGAATTGTCAGTATTCTGTACATGATGAGGTTTTTTTGTTTTCTTTTTTTTTTTTAATTAGAAATATTTAGCTTTTCAGGGCTATGGCAAATCATTTCAGCTGTGTCTAACTATATCAATTTTTGTGCCTCGAGGACCTGCCATTTAGGTGGCCTGTGATATCAGTCTTGGGACAGTGGTGTCATGCTTTGTCACGTGTCAGTTACAAAAACATTTGATCTTATATTCTTTAAAGAAATATTTCTTGCCTCCTATTTTAATACTGTAACTATAAATTTTAATGCAAAGGTATTTAATTTTTCAGAAATGAGCCTTTCAAAATCCATATTTTTTTTTTTTTATCTTTCCTTACCATGTTCTTTTCATGTCTCTGATAATCTAAAATACTACAATTCTTCATAATAATATCCAACAGCCTCTGGCTAATTACTGAGTCAATTATGAAAATATATGTATTAGCTAGATGACATACAGTCATACAGAGGGAAAAACTAGGCTTATTATAGGATATTTAAAACTCAGGAGATATACTAAGATGAAGTAGTGGCATAAGAATCCACCCAACCTGGAAAAGACTAGTACCTGTGCATAACTACTGTGATTAGAATGATTAATTTAAGCTTATACATAATATTTGGTGAACTGGAGTCACAGTCTTCAGTTTAGAAAGGGAGGGAGAAATAAAAACTGAATAAAGCAATATTTAGTGAAGAACAATATGGCAAAAAGTTTTATTTTGGATAAATGACTTGTACTTAGTACTTAAAAGAAAAATGTGGTTTTAGTTTTGATAAAGCCTGACCAATGAGAATCTTTCTCAAGTTACTGTGGAGTGGCCTTAATGCTGTAAATAATCCCGTTGGCCAAGTCCCAGTACCGTGCAGATGAGAAAAGGATGCAGGAAATTCTGTTGTTTACACATGTGTCTGTAACTGAGAAGCAAGAGGAGCCCAGCAAACCCAGAGGGTAAGGGGTCTTAAGCTTGTGGGTTTACTGTTTAATTTTTGCATTTCTCTTCAGGGACAAAGTATGGGTTACCATCACGCTGATGGTAAGGAGGAAAACAATCTGAAATACCCAGCAAAAGTATCGAAGATCAGAAAACAGATAGTATTTGAAGTATGTGGCTAAGTTAGATCTAGCTAGATTTTTCTTTTCTGTCCTTTTCACTACTATCGGGTAGAATTAATTGTAACACCCCATTAAACATAGCTTGTTTTTCAGATATAGGTGGATCCTTGCTTACCATAACCAGGTGAGTTTTAAAATTTTTCAAAGTGGCAGTTTGTTAAATGGTTGTTTCTTATTTTTGATTTAGAAATTAGTATAAAGGCAGAAAGGTTCAGGATTATACTGTTTTAATACTGAAAACCTTTTTTTAAATCACTATGTGAAATTCATCTGCAATAGGATAAACTGGTAAAGCTTTGGTAACTTTTAATCATTATTGGTATTATGATCATAAGTGTCATGAGAATACTGTTATGGGTTTGCAGCAGTTTATGTTGCGGTTTTTTGTTAGAAAGCAATGTTTTCACAGTGTTTCTATTTTCATAAATTCCACTAATCAGTTGTATAATCTTAACTTCCTTCAGAAAATATGTGATGATAGGATAAGAAAAAAGTGTGTTCTTGGCTATATGATATTACTCTAATGCAGTGAAATATAGTTTATTGATACTATGATTTGTTGATGCTGGACAAAGATATTTAGTTTGTCATTATTTGAAAGGCAAATATCCCAGATGATATGAGACTGTATGGATGATCCATCGCCAATGAGAACCAAGGGTCAAATTTCAAAAGTAACGTTGATGAGTTTAGTAAGCATATATAACAAACAATACTAACAGGCCTCCTACTGACTATCCAGATAGCTGCATTTTTGTCTCTTAGTTGTCACTGATTCTCACAACCATTTTGTGAAGCAGAATCTGCTATAAATAATCCTATTGCTAGAAGCCTAGCTTTTGTTTTGAATTACCTATGTTAGAAAATTTCCTTTTTTTTTTTTGAGTTTCTGAATGCAATTCTTTGGATAATATAATGAAGATAAAAGAATTTCTATAATATATTAGGTATTGTTAATAGAACAGTCATATCATTCTGTCATGAAACCTCCCAGAGAATTCTGTGAAAGACTTAGTGAAAAATGTGAAATAATATGTCTGACGCTTTCATGTATTTGCATGTAACCAGTTTTGAATTTGAATCTTTCACTTTAAATATAAAGTATTAATGTTAACTTCAGGTAGATCTGAGAACTAAATCATTAGAAAATGAATACTCTAAAGCAGCTGGTAATGAACAGAAAAACACTGTCATTGACTTCAGCACCAAGAGGGGTAGATCTTGGAATCATTTAAAGTGTACAAATTTGGTTGTTGATAGTTGACTCTTCTGTGGGTTGAAGAGACTAGAAAATGTTACCCACAATAATAATTCCGTATTGATAACCATTATTCCATTAGTATCTGCTAAATTTAACAAAACAAAAAAATAAAATTTTATGTTCCAAATTGCTTTTCATAAAGCATTCAGAATAAAGCAATGTCTACTATCACTTTTATTAAACAAGTTTTATTTTACCCTTTTCCTCTGAAGTATGATTGGCAAGAACATATGGACATTTAAGGCAATATTCTCAGGAAAAACACAAAAACTACTAGTGAAATTTTTAATACACTTAGCCATATTTTTGTAGCCTATAAAATATTCTTGCAATGAAGCATATATTGGTTTTTATTTAAATACTGTTTTCTACTTTTTTTTGCCTTTTTTTCTATATCAAATACTTATACCGATTGCTAATAAATGAAGAAGTCACTACAATAGTATAGCTGAATAAAGTATAAGCAGAATTCCAAGGTAAAAGCGATTCTAACATTGACATTCAGGCTACGTTATTTGGATCTGTGAACAGGCATATGTAACGTTCTCTGAAGTGTATAGTGCAGCTTTTCATTGTTGGGTTTGATTTTGTCCACTTTAACAACTCCAAACAACACACTGAACACTCCAGCATCAAGAAAAGGAATACAGGGCACCGTGGTGCGTACAAGCTTTTCAGTTGCTCGGTAGACTTGTCTTGCTGTCCATCACTAACAGTTTCATCAAGATATTTAAAAAAGGTCAGACAAGCATGAACTCTGTTCCAAGGATCCCTGTTTGTGCAATGCAAGGTACTTCAGAGAGAGAGGTGAAATTTGGTTCCCTAGAGGAGGTAGGAAACAGTTCCTTCTATGCCAGTAAATCATTTATAGACATGTGAAAGGTGCTGTTACTAATGTCATTATTGTTACTTTAATTGAAAAGGCTGTGGGTCTGGTTACAGTGCATTGTGAATTCCATAAACGTGATCCATCTTGTAAGTAGTCGCCAGTGGGTCTAAAGGCAATTGCCTTTCTATGATGGCAGTATCCCAAGCAAACTGCATTTGGAAATGGCAGTTTTAAGGGAAGTCCCATGGAAAACAGGGAAAAGTACTTTATTTGCATTTATATTAAACTATTTTTTAGCAAAATGGAGAAAAGAGAAGAAAGAATAACAACAGACTTTTGAGTAATATCGAAATCCTCAATTTAAGTTTGTGTGTTTTGTTTTCCTAACGCGGATTGATTCATAACATGTATTCCTATAAATTCCCAGTGTCCATTTTCTTTAATGATTGTCTAATTCTTTAGTTTCCTTGTTCTGACTCTTCTTTCTCAGCTTTGAATCTTCCACTCTACTTAACTGAGTGAGCTACAATGGTAATTGAAAACCGAGCATTAATATCACAATTTTGTAAGGGCTGCTTTAATGTCAAAGATTTTCCTGCATTCCCAAGACAGGACATCTTTGTTGCAGTTACAATTATGTCTGGTAAGCTTCTACATAACTAACAAAATAGGCAAATTAGCTTCTAAACCACACTTTTATTGTTATTAATAGTCCATTCCATTTGTAGGGACCCTTACTGGGCTTTTCTTTTCCAAGTTGTTAAAAACCCCTTTTTTTTCCCCCCTGTGTATTTTAATAAGGTATTAACAGGATTGTACAACAGAGATTTACTTTTTATTTAACTGACATTACATAAAGATGTATCAGTATATAGAAACTGCATTATCTTGATATTAATTTTCTGTTAAGGCATACTAGAAACCATATTCCGCATTCCTTTGGAAAAGCAGGTCTCTAAGCAAAGGACACTTTTGCTCCTATTCCCTTTTTAGTCCATACAATAATCTTTCATTGACTGGTTTATTCTGAATATGATCCTCCCTGAACAGCTTGATTCTCTGCTCATGCTGATTTGAGTAATCTAGGTCTGATTTATATTGGGTTAAATAATGCAGGTTTTATGCCAAATCCATTCTTATTTAACGTCAATCACATTACTGGAGGAATACCAGGGAGGAAATGCCATGAAAGCTCTTATTGTTTTGATTATTTTTTTTTAAATGTATTTTCAGTTGACTTGAAGGTTTCTCCATAACTTTTGTAGGTATCCATGTTGGCAAAAGGATGCCAACTTCCCGTCTGTCTGAAGGACAGTATTCAAAAGAAAATTTGCAGTATACTTATACAATTAATTTCTTCTCTTTTGATGGGGCTACTCAATGGCCTACTGTGGGCACTGTAGAGAATAAATAGAGATGTTTCTCTATGCATTTTAGTGACCTCTAGGGTACAGCACATGGTACTTTGTGGATTATTTTATGTGACCACTCTAGTAATTGTAAAACCATGGCTTATATGACAATATGAATTATTTCTTAAGTACCTTTCCCTCAAAGACGACGTAGTGGAGTTGGAGTCATCACGGGATTCTATCTTACAGCATTAAATCCCACAAAGGAGTCCTTGAACTGTTGAAAGACATAAGATGGTGTTAAAATACTACAGTGGTTAAGGACAATTAAGGATAATTACATATAAATGTCCAAGAAGTAATCTTTTTTTAAAGAACATTCTTTAAAGACTTAATTCTAGAAGAAACGGCTTCTAAAACTATTCTGATAAAACTGAGCATATCTCTGCACAACAGAATTGTTAATTCTGATACAACTATATCAAAGTAGTTGAACAAGCCAAAGGGATAGGCTCTGACCCAGAGAAAACAAAATATTCATGAACGTTCTTACTTGTCTGCTTATGTGGGTGGGAAAAAATCACTTGTTTCCAGATTGACTCTGAGTAGTGTTTTGAAGAAAAATTGTTTTATGTCCTAATAAGCACTGGAATGTTTTATGTCTTGGTCAGAAACAAAGCATCAGATATCTGTGATTAATGTTCCCTACTCCCAGTGTTATGAAATTGCTTTTCAAAGTAGGTCATGTTTTGAATAAAAAAGATCATAATGATTACAACTATAACAAGACAATTATTAATCTCTCACTTCATAAAGCATATGATTTTAAGACACTGTCAAGAATTTTACAAAACTGAAGAATTTCTCAGAATATAAGCAGGCATTAAAAACTTAATTTTTCAGGGATATGCCTTTACATCTTCACACATTGGAGAAAAAAAACCCAAAACCCAAACAACCCTGTGTTGTTTTGTTAGTAAACAAAAAAGCCTGTAGAGGAAAGCGAAGCTATCCAGTTTAAAGACAATTTCCAACTGAGTAACATACAAAAATTTGTTAGAAATGTGGTATAAACTGTAGAAATAAACTTGTGATAATTTTTTTAAATAATGAAGCTTTTCTATACATTTAAGTGACCTCTACTGTTTGGATGGATGGGTTTTAGCATTGTGTCTAACCTAATTCTTGTTCAGTAAAGTGCTCTTCACGATGGTTAAAGAAGCCTGTCTTCAGTTGCCTTTTTTAACTTCCTTTTGAAACGGAAAGGAGCCCAGCTGACCTGTTCTATAGCCCAATCTGAAAAATGTGAAAAAAACCCCCACAGGTCTTTCAAGTCCTCAGCGCCATTTGGGAGTAGCTGGGCATCTTAAATTTTGGCTGTACCCAATAAGAA